GGGGATTTGGATGGCGTCTCCAGCCAGCTCAACATCAACAGGGACTCCCGATACCCCGAGAGCATCGATTGGACCCGCAAGGTTGTAGCTCTCACGCTCGCCACCTCTTGCTGCGGATGCGTTCGGAGCTGACTTTTGCTTCCTGGACGCAGCTGCGCCCCCGGATGCTCCTCCTCCCCTTTCTCCTCCTCCTCCTCCTCCTCCTCCTCCTCCTCCTCCTTCTCCTGCTCCTCCTCCTCCTCCTCCTCCTCCTCCTCCTCCTCCTCCTCCTCCCTCCTCTGTCCTACCTCCCCATCCTCCCTCCTCTCTCCTACATCCTCCTCCTCCTCCTCCTCCTCCCCCTCCTCCTCCTTCGTCACCAGCTGCAGATCGTCGAGGGACACGGCACCGCCTCGAGCGGCCGCCGGAGGCCGCGCCATGGCCCGAAATCTAGGTCGGGCATGTCCTCCTACAGGCGGACGTTGGAGGAAAATTTAAAATAGTCACACACACACACACACACAAAAAAAAGCATGGTAAAAGATAGTCGTAAAATCGTCCCCGAAATATGTGTTACTATGTTTAAAATTTCCCCCTGTATAAAGGGACATGCCCGACTTAACCCTAAGTCCAACCAGACGGTTGGATGCGGCCTGGGGGTCCGAAATGGCCGAGAGCCGAGAAAATCGGTCATGAGGGTGGGACGAATAAGACGAAGCCAAGACGGGGATAGAATCGGGTGAGGCCACATCGAAAATCTCTGAGATCCAGCGGCTCAGGAGGATGTATCGGGCGCCGCGGCCTTCTCAGAGAGTTCCGGAATGCTCTGGAATGGATGTATCCTCGCCCCGGCCCCGATCGAACAAGGCCAAATCCGCTGGTCCCCGGACCTCTCCCAGGGTCACCCCAGGGTCCATCTGGTGCAGTTTTTCAGCCCAGATCCGCTTCTGCCGGTTCCTAAACCCGAAAATGGCCCCTGGAGGCCGAAAAAGGCGAACACCTTCCCGAACCCAGAACCTCGAACCTGCCCCCCATTCCTGCTGGCCGGAACCAACGCTGGGCCACCTCAGACCCCCAGCTGGTTCGAACCAGAGGAAGTAGGACCGTCAGATCTGGGCGTCGCGAAGGCAGCACGGTAGGATTCCTCGCCCTCCTTCTGGGCCCCGTCACCCTCATGATCGATCCCAGAAGGGCGGTGGTTGTCATAAGACCGTGCGCAAAGACAGGCTCGGTAGCCGTGGCCGCGTGTTTTTTTATTGATGCAAACTGTCTCTCGGGGGGGATGCAGAAGAGCAGATCATGCCCCGACACATGTGCACGGTCAGGGGGGGGCCACGGGACGCACCGAAGTAAGAGAAGAGGGCCATGACATCTGGGGAGAGTTCTTGGCCCCCGCCACGGTTCGTCCCCCCCTCCTGGCCGCCACAGGATAATGGCGCTGTGATTGTGGAGCCTGACGTTTCGCGACGTCGGACCTCGGAGAGAGACGCCACACGGCGCACGCCAGGGGGCGTCGCGAGGGGAGTGCAACCGGGGATACGTCGACCGCGATCCCAGATTTCGCAGGGGTTTTCGAGTGAACGAAAACTTTGGGGCCAACCTTGGGCTATACGATGGAGGGGGGCGCCCATCCTCGATAGGGGTGCGTCCGAATAGCCCCATGGGGGTGTATCCCAGGGTGTCCCTCTTGCTGGTGAGCGGCTTCAGTCTTCGACGAAAAGCCGGGGGCTGGGAGAGAAACATCGCCTGCGAGACTGGCCTTCTGAGACGGCGGGGGGGCTCATTCGAAGGCAGGGGCCTTCTTGGACGAGCCCTGGGGGTCTGAAGAGGCTCCTCCAGAATCGGAGGCGCGCAAACATGGTTTCGCGATCCATGTATTTGAGGCGCGGTCGCCAAATCCATGGATCGGGGGAGGTACCCTCTCCAAAATGCGGCAAAATGCGGCCGGTGCCGCCTCGCTCGGCGGCGGAAATCCGTGATTCCCCAGGGACACGGGACCCGTCGCTAATCCACGCCCCACTGATCCATGTTTGCGATCGCCTGATTCTTGGACGAGCCCGGGGCGGTCTGAGGAGGCTCCTCAAGAAGCCGGGGTGGCTTCTAAGAAGCTGCATGCCATCTCAGAAGGACCCCCCCAGGTTTCTTTGCAGGCCGCCCCCCTCGCCCCGCCCCCCCCCCGCCGTGTGCGCCGCGAGCAGCGCCTGAAGCCCCAGGTTTCCTCCTCCCTCCCTCCTCCTCCTCCTCCTCCTCCTCCTCCTCCTCCTCCTCCTCCTCCTCCTCCTCCTCCTCCTCCTCCTCCTCCTCCTCCTCCTCCTCTTCGGAAGGGCCGGCCAGGAACAGAGAGGGGTGCAGGCATCGTGCTACCACAGAAGGAGCGCTGAGTCAGGAACGGAAGGGGCTTTTCTGGCCACGGCGAGCGAGCGCGTTCTCCGCGAGCTGGGTCCCCGGGAGACGGCCCTCCAGACGCCCAGCTGGCCCGTCTTCCAGCGTCTCGACTGTGAGCGCACCACTGCCAGAGGCACGCGCGCAGACGAGAGGGGGGCATGGGGGGCTGCTCCCCACCTGACGGGTTGGGGGCGTTGGACAAGTTACCCTTTTGCGCACACTGGGCACCGCGGTCACCAGACCCCGCGGAATCCCAGGAGTCCCTGGGTATCCCGGCTCGCGCCCTCGACGAATAGCGGCACAATGCCGCGGTCGACGGACCCCATCGGATCCTGGGAATCCCTGAGCGTCCCGCCATGCGTTCTCGACGAATGCCGACCCCCTGCATACCAAACATCCCCGAAAGAAAGGCGTCACGGCGTCACGCCGTCCAAGCATCATGACGCATGTCCAAAGAGGCACAACTAATCGGCAACATGAGCACACAGCAAAAGCGGGCACACGCATCAAACACGTACGATGGAAAGCCACGAAAAAACAATAAGACATGTTAGCCAGCACCCCAAACAGTTTGTCTCTCGCAATGCATGCGGTGCAGATTATGTGGTGTAATCTATGTGGTCCAACCGATGTGGAGAAATCTAACAGTGCAATCTACGTGGTGCACTCTACGTGGTGTAATATATGTGGCGCAATCGATAGCGCGCAATAGATATTATGCAATGATGGTGGTGCAAATGTAGTGCGATACATGTTGTGCATTTTCAAGTGTCTAATCAATGTGGAGACATCTACGTGGTGACTTGTAGCTACTGTTCATCGAGAATTGTCAGCTCCACTGCTCGCGCAAGCGTCCCATCCATCCACCCGCAACGTGGTTTCCAAAATGCATGAGGCGGCAAGTGCAATGCTTTCCTGGCGCTGACTGGCGCATCGTTGCGGCCGCGCTGGCGCGCGCAGGCTCGCGCGCAGAGCGGCCAGCCAGTCTGGCGCGACCGACGCGGCCGCGGTGGCGCAGACCGATAGAGACTTCCCAGCGCGTCTCGCAGGCCGCGCTGACGCGCGGGCATTTCAAGTGCGGGTCGCGGACTCGGGCGGGCGCGGTATCCCGGCGACGTCGACAACGGCAGACACGCGATGACGATTGCAGCGACGCTCGTGGCGACGACAACGACGACGACGGCAAGACGAAGGACGGCGCCGGTGCTGATAGCGCCGATGGCGATGATGGTGCCCACGCGGCGGCGAGGAAGGTTCTGGAAGGACTTCGGCAGGCGGGCGTGGGCGAAGGGCGGGAGGAGCCCGCACGGCATGAACTGCTTGACAGGGATCGTGGCCGCCCAGGGCGGGCGCAAGAGCGCTCAAAAAATTCGTGCGCGCACGGGGGGCCCGCCTGTTCGCAGTTGACGAGATTGATGAAAATCCATGGTGTTCCCAAGAGTTCTCAAGAGCGCGCGCGGAGACCTCCTTTCCCAGCCGTGCTGTGGTGTTGGGTCTTCGCTTTGGAGAGGCAGCGCCCCGCGTTCCTCATTTTCTCCTCCTCCCCCTCCTCCTCCCTCGCCCCATCCCTGCCTCTGTTATTCGCATGTCAGCATCATCATCGTCGTCATCATCATCATCATCATCATCATCGTCATCATCATCATCATCATCATCATCATCATCATCATCATCATCATCATCATCATCATCATCATCATCATCATCATCATCATCATCATCATCATCATCATCATCATCATCATCATCATCATCATCGTTAGAATCAGCAGCATCATCATCACCACCACCATCATCATCATCATCGTCATCATCATCATCATCATCATCAGCATCATCATCATCGTCATCATCATCATCATCATCAGCATCATCATCATCATCATCATCATCATCGTCATCGTCATCGTCATCGTCATCGTCATCAACATCGTCATCGTCATCATCATCAGCACCATCGCCGTTCTCATCGCCGTTCTCATCGCCCTTAGTTTCGGCACACCCCTCACACGTTTCGTGGCCCCACAGAGAGCTCCACCTAGGGCCCCAGTGACGCCGCCCGCATGCGTCCGACCCACCAATTTCAACACACCCCACAGGAGAGCCCAGAATCGAATCGATAAGTCGGATCGGCCATCGGAAGAAATCGGATCGGAGGAAATCGGCAGCAGAGTCGGGAAAAGTCGAATCGGCGGAAATCGGCAGGCTAGTAGGTCTCTATTGAGAAATCAGAACCGAAATCGGAACCCCAAGTCGAATCGAATTGGAATCGGAGGAGTCGAAATGAGCCCTGGCCCCATCGCTAGCACCCTGGCCCCATCACCACATCACAACACGACCACCATCACCCCATCACGCCCCATCACCCCATCGCACCACCAATTTCGGCACACACGCCCCACGAGGAGCGCGGCCCCCCATTGGGAGCTCAACCGAAGGTCCGCCGGGACGCCGCCCGCATGCGCCAGACCCACCCATGTCGGCATACAGCGCGCGAAGATCGCGGCCCCATGGAAGGGCTCCACTCCACCAAAGATTCCAAGAGGCGCCGCCTGCACGCGTCCGATCCACCAATTTCGGCACACACACACTCACACTCACACTCTCACACACACACACACACACACACACACACACACACACACCACGAGGATCGTGGCCCCACAGGGAGCTCCACCAAAAATTGCAGGGGCGCCGCCCGCATGCGTCCAACACACCCATTTCGGCACACCGCCCACGGTGATCGCGGCCCCATCTGGAGCTTCACCGAAATGGGCGGCGCGCGTCCGATCGACCTATGTCGGCACACCCCCTCACGAGGATCGCAGCCCAATCTGGGGATCCACCGAAGGTCCCAGGGGCGCCGCCCGCATGCGCCAGACCCACCCACTTCGGCAAACCCGTCACGATGATCTCGGCCCCAGTGGGGCCCACCGAAGGTCCCAGGGGCGCCGCCCGCACGCGCCCGACCCACCAATTTAGGCGAACCCCCCACGAGGATCGCGGCCCCATCAGGAGCTCCCCCGAAGGTCCCAGGGGCACCGCTCGCACGCGTCCGACCCACACATTTCGGTCAATCACCCTCACGAGGATCGCGGCCCCATAGGGAGCTCCACCGAAGGCCCCAGGAGCGCCGCCCGCTTGCGTCCGACCCACTTACGTCGGCACACCTCTCACGAAGATCGCCGCACCACAGGGGGCTCCACCGAAGGTCCCGGGCGCGCCGCCCGCGCGCGCCCGACCGACCCATGTTGGCGCACCCCCACGAGGATCGCGGCCACATAAAAGAGCTACGCCGAAGGTCCCAGGGGCGCCGCACCCATACGTCCGACCCACCAATTTCGGCACCATTCTCACACAGATCGCGGCCCCATATGGGGGGCCCCGCCGAAGGTCCCAGGGTCGCCGCCCGCATGCGCCCGACCGACCCATGTCGGCACACCCCTCGCGAGGATCGTGGCGCAATCCGGGGCCCCACCCAAGGTCTCAGGGGCATCGCCCTCACGCGTCCGACCCACCCAGTCTGGCGCACCCCTCACGAGGAACGCGGCCCAATGCGGGGCTGCACCGAAGGTCCCAAGGGCGCTGCCCGCATGCGTCCAGCCCATTCATGTCGGCACACCCCATCACGGGGATCGCGGCCCCACATGGGGCTCCACCGAAACCCCCAGGGGCGCCGCCCCCGCGCCCGACCCACCAATGTCGGCACACACCCCGCGAGGATCGTGGCCCCATAGGAAGATCCAACGAACGTCCCAGGGGCGCCGCCCGCACGCGGCAGACCCACGCGTGTGGGCACACCCCTCACACGCCTCGCGGCCCTTTGAGGAGCTCCACCGAAGGGCCCCGTACACGGCCACCACAAGGTGGCCCAGACAGGGCCCCGAAAGGACAGTTCGACCCCGCGGCCCCCAAAAGCTCCCAGAAAGCCCCCCGAGAGTCTCCCAAGTGGTCCTCAAGAGGCCTCCAAGAGGCCTCCCAAGAGGGCCCCAAGAGGCAGGCATCCCGACGAACGAACTAGGGGCCGATGACCCACAACCCAAGCACGGTGGTGGGATCGGCCGAACGCCATTAGAAAATAGACTTGCGCTGGGACATCATAGCATAGCATAACATAATATGTTCGCCAGCGAGGGCCCAGGTAGCATTCCGTGCCGTCCAACCCATGCGACGCAGAGCAATGAAAACCAACGCGGCGCAGTGCAACGCCCCGCGAGGCAACGCACAGCAACACCGAGGAACGCAAGGCAACGCAAGGCAACGCAAAACACCGCAACGAAAAGCAGCCCAAAGAGAAGCAATGCGGCGGCGGATCTGCTGTGCGGACTTGTCGGGGTCGGCGTTGATGTCGGCGGCGACGCCCGTCGCGCCGGCAGAGGTGAAGCGTTTCCACCTGCCCGCAGCGTCACGGAAGGCACGCGCGAAAGCGAGAGCGCGAGGTGCGGCCACGCCTGTCGCCCTTGGCTTGGAAGATGGATCGGCGAGCTGGCCCGTCGCCATGGAGCTCGCCGCGGTCGGACTGGAGGTCGGCAGCCGCGAGCTACTCCTGCACATCATTGAAGAGGGTGCGCGGCGCGATGGGGCGTTGGCTACTCACCGAGAAGGGCGTGGGATTGGGCGCCCGATCAAATTCGGCGAGCCTGGATCGGTCCACAATCGGGGAATGCGCCCCCGCGAGGGCGAGGCCGTCGGGATTCTGGCCGATCTGCTGCCACATGTTCTGCTGCTCGACTGCTGGTTTGTCTTGTCCTCGTCGGGTGCGGACAACGGCGTCATGCAGTGCGTCGATCCGTCGTTCGGTTTGCTGGACTTGGCGCTGGAGGTCTCGGGAACTCTCCCGCGACTGGTTAAGGAGCTCGGCCCGGCGCAAAAATGTGGCGGCTGCATGAACAACTTGTTGTTGCATGAGTTCTTGCAGGGCTGCGTCGAGTTGTTCAAGGACACCAGACAGCAGCCGTCGTGCTGCATGGGCGACTGGAGCGGCAAGTTGCTAAGGAACGGCTTGAGACGAGAAGGCCGGCACTGCGTCGAAATCACAAGCGAAACGCTCAAGTTGTTATGTGTCCATCTTGCCCACTGGTTGTGCAGCACGCCAAGGTTCACGCTGTCCCGGTGGGTCGATGTTCCCTGTGCCGCAGGCTTGGATGATGAAGTTGGTCTGCCAAGAGCTGAAAAGGGGCGACGTGGACTGCTTGGGTGTTCCACAGGGTTCCACGTACCAAATCAACTGCGAAACCAGACCGTATTTCAGGAACAAAGGGAGGGATGGTATGAAGATAAATAACACGGAAACGAATTTGAAAGGCTCGGACGAAATCTCGGCGAGAAAGTGGAATATGAAGGGTTCGGAGATAGGCCCAACGATCAGATGTGGAAGCCAGGGCCCTTCGCAGCAAGGGCGAGGCACATCAGCGGAAATGGTACGAAGAAAGCTGGTGGCGGTATCCGCGCGGCGCTCGCGATGGCGTGTCACCTTGAGCCAAATGGCTACGGAGGGAGGAGGAGGACGAGGAGGAGGAGGAGGGGGGAGGAGGAGGTTCACTGCCCATAGAGGGAAAGAGGTCCAGGGGTGAGAAAGGAAAAACGGGGTGGGTCCGCCTATCCAAGGAGGCTTTTGTCAGGCCCCCCCAGAGGTTCCATCCCTCTGGCAGGGCCCCCGACAAGGCGACCCCACCCCCACACAGCGCTAGCCGAACTCTCCAGCTTCGGCTTCGCACTCTTCCCGGGATTTGCGAGCCTGGGCCTCAGCGCGGGCCTGGACAGCCCACAACCCGAGCTCCTCAGCTTCGGCCCGAGTCTCGAACCCGAACGCCTTCAAACAGGCTTCCATGCCGAGCCGAGGAGCGGTCCTTTGCTGCGAGAACGCAGGGAGCCTGCTGGGGGGCCGACCGGCCCCTTCCGCGTCAGCTCCAAAATGATCTCGCCAGCGTTCCCGAGTGGCTGTGGAAGGGACCTGGGGCTCGTCCAGAGCCAGTCCCTCCTCCGTGGGGTGCATGCGCCCACGCAGCCGCTTCCGGACGGTGTACGCCGAGCCGCCAGTGACCCGCCGAGGGCCAAGGCAGGGACTGCAAAGGCCCCGTTGTTTACGATGCACAGCGAACTTGTAGCACGTCGTGCAAAAAAGGATCGGCTCCTGCCCAGCGACACCTGCTTCTAGAACCGAGTGTTGGTTGACCAACCATGGGCGCCTAGGCCCGAGACCGTAACCTTCATCATCCGCGTCTTCCACGCCACCGTTCTCCCTCTCAGCCTCCACCACCACCACCCTGGCAGCAGCAGCAGCAGCAGGGAGCGGGTCAGCAGGAGGAGAGGGAAGAGGACCAGGGGCATGGCGTGGGGCCTCGGGAGCGGCAGGCAGGTCAACCAAGAATCCTGGAGGAACATCAGCCGCGCCAAAATCAATTAAACGAATCGCATCGAGCCCTTGATAGTCTACGATGTTCTCTTTGACACACCGAGTGGCAAGCCTGGCCGTGGCCTTGCAGGGGGGAGGAGGAGGAGGAGGAGGAGGAGGAGGAGGAGGAGGAGGAGGAGGGAGGAGAGAGGAGGAGGAGGAGGAGGAGGGAGGAGAGCAGGAGGAGGAGGAGGAGGAGGGAAGAGAAGGAGGGGATGAGGAGCAGGAGGGGGAGGAGAAGGGGAGGAGGAGGAGGAAGAGGAGAAGGGGGAGGACGAGGAGGAGGAGGGAAGGAGGAGGAGGAGGAGGAGGAAGAGATGTGATAAGGTTAGCCCCGCAGGGCGCCACGAGTTCCCACAGCCTGAAAAGAAAGGTACGTCTCGGTTCTGCTTCGAGAAGGCCTTGACTTCACGCTGTGCACGCGGCCCTGCGCCAGGACTGGGCAAGCTCATGCTCGGCGGCGGGCCCTGCGGCGAATAGCCTGAGGCTGCCGCCGTGAGCACCGACCTCCGAACGAGGAGGAGGAGGAGGAGGAGGAGGAGGAGGAGGAGAAGGAGGGGAAGAAGGGGGAGGAGGGGGAAAGGAGGGAGGAGGAGGGGTAGGAGGAGGAGGAGAGGACGACGAGGAGGAGGAGGAGCAGGAGGAGGAGGAGAGGAGGAGGAGGACGAGGAGGAGGAGGGGAGGAGGAGGGGAGGAGGAGAGGAGGAGGAGGAGGAGGAGGAGGAGGAGGAGGGGGAGGAGGAGGAGGAGGAGGAGGAGGAGGAGGAGGAGGAGGAGAAGGAGGAGGAGGACGAGGAGGAGGAGGAGGAGCAGGAGGAGGAGGAGGAGCAAAGGGAAGCACCGCCAGGGAGAAGATCCCAGCCGCCCCGTGGCCGCGGGCTCGCACCCCGCGCGCCCGACCGCCCCCCTGTGGCTGGCGGGGGGTCCTTCAGGCCCCGCAGGCAGGCCTCAGCCGCCGGCCCGTCGATGCCGGCCTCCTGCGCGAAGAGGAGGTACGGTGGAGGTTGTTGTTTTTGTTTGTTGTCTCTGCGCGGCCGAGGCCTCGAGCTAATCCATGCACCGAGCGACGGCGGGGCCAGCGCCAGCGGAGGCCCCTCACGCTCACTGGCTCCCGCCTCGCCTAGCCGCTGGTCGGCCGTCACGAACCGGAGGCACCCCGTCGGCCGGTCGCGCGGTGGAGGTTTTAGATAAGGATGCCTTCGATAAGGAACCCAGGGTCTCGCGACCGATGGGCGGCCAAACATGGGCCACCCACGTCGCCCTGAAACAATAAGGAATGCGCCAGGGTCTGGACCCCAAAGAGAGACGTTCCTTATCCAGTGCCACCGCCGTGCGGATGCGCAACTTTTTAATGCCTGGCTCTAGTTGATGTCAAAGGGTGACTTCTAGATTCGAGCCTCGGCGGTTACGGGAGTGCAGAACACTCATGCATGTGCACGTGCACTCATGCAGCAAATCATGCGGGGATGTCTCGCAATCATGCGCTGTGCTGGCACGGCAACGATGCTCCGAATCGGGTGCGCCGAGGAGGGTGAGAGGCAACGTCAAGGGGGGACCAGCTCAGGGAGGCAAACGTTGAGCTGGATTCGCGCCGATGCATCCCCGGTAGGCCGGCGATGGGCCTCCGATAGCGAGGCCCCGCACGTTGCTGGGCGGGGTGGGCAATGGGGGGTCCATACATCCCCCCTAAGTCCATCCCGCCCTAACATTGCCCTCAGAGGGGTGTCAGGGAGAGGGGGCTAGCGCATCGTGGCCCGATGCATGTGCACGAACGAGGGGGGGTCAGAGAATAGAGTGAGAGAAGAAGGGGGGACATGAAATGCGGGAGATTTCGCGGCCCCGGTGCAGGTATCCGCTCGCCACCGCCCTCACCCCTTGGGAGGGAAGGCGCGCATCCGCCATGCAAAACCGGCCCAGCTCGGGCCCCGACCCGGGCCGAAGGCGCTCCCCGCCTGGCCGGGAGGCCAGCGAGGAGGAGGAGGAGGAGGAGGAGGAGGAGGAGGAGGAGAAGGGGGAGGAGGAGGAGGAGGAGGGGCAGATGCTGCCCGCGGGCCCCGGAGGGGGCCGTCCGAGAGCGGCCGGGGAGGAGCAGGGCTGTGGCCCCTGGGCAGGTGGCGACGCCCGAACCACCTCCCGCATCGATGGGAGGGGGAGGCACACCTTGCGAAATGCTTAAGAAATCATGGGTTAAGAAATTCATAGTCTCAGAAATTGAATAAAACCCAGAACTTCTATCAAATCTTGGGATTTACACTGAAACGTCAAGAATAATCGAGACTCTTTCGGAAAACTTAGGTTTTCTTAAGCATCGCCTAAGGTGCACAGGGGCCCGGACTCCGCCACGTGCTCGACGAGCTCCGAGCCCTGCCCCGGCCGACCATCGGGTTGCCCGAATCATTGGCCAGGCGACCGGGTAAGGTTCGGGCTCGCGCCGCCGGCGGAAGGAGCGGGTCGGGACTTTCAGGGCCCTCGCGCTCGAGCTCAAGAGGCATCGGCGGCGCCGGCGTGTAGAAAGCCGGGCTCCACCTCGAGCCGCATTGCTGGTGTGTCGACGACGCGGCACGATCATCAGGTCGGGCATGTCCCCCACATTACGGGGGATTTTGGGCGAAAAATAAGCATACCCCGAACATATGCGCATGTGAAAAAAAAGTCCCCCTACTACTTTTTAACTGCTCTTGAACATTCCCCCTGTAGAGGGACACGCCCGACTTGACTCACGATGCATCGGCGACACCAACGTGCAGAAAACCGGGTGCGTCGACGATGCGGTGTGTCGACGATGCGCATCGCCGGTATGTCGGCGATGCGGCACGACCGTCAGAACCCCACGTGCTCGGGCCCCACCTGGGGAGGCCCAGGAACGGGTGGGGACTACCGGGGGCCTCGCGCGCTCGACGAGCTCAGGACGCCGGAGGCCCGGCGGCCTGTCCACAGGCGCGCCATCGCTCGGACGGCCATTCCCCGGGCATGCGTCGCCGTCGTGCGTGTCTTTCCCCGCAGGGTGAACAGAAGTGCTCCTCGAGGGTCCTCGCCGAGAAGCAGTGCACACGTCCGGGCGATGCCAAGCAGGTCCTGGCCCGAGCCCAGCCTCGACCTGCAGGGCCTGGTGGTGGTGCACTGCTCAGAGGGCAGACGCCTCCGAGAGTGGGGTCAGAGCATATGGTTAGGAGTCGGCGGCAACCGAGGGGGGTAAGTGAGAAGGAGGCCGTCTCGGAAGGCGGCGGGGCGTCTCAAAGGCCTCTGGCCTTCTAAGAGGTTTCCCGTGGGAGGCTTAGAGAATTTCACATCACAGAAGGCTGGGGGGCTTCCGAGCCTTCTGAGAAGGCCCGCCCCTTCTGACGTCCCCCCCCCCCTCGCTCGCCGCCGAAGGAGGCAACACCTGGGAGGTCTTCGTCAGAACGATTCCATGCTAGAAGACCCGATTAGATGGCAATCGGGCCAGGCCAGGCTGGATTAGGCCCAGGATCAAGCCACATTCAGCGGGTTTGAGCCATATTAAGCGGGATGCAACCGGATTCAACAGGATTGAGACGCATTAAACGGGATACAAACCAGATTAGGCCAGTCTTCGACCAGGGAGATACCAGCGCCGAACAAGAATGTAATCTCCCAGGAGTTGCATCCTAGGTACGGGGTCAGAGGATCGCGCCGCATCGTCGATGCATCACAACTGCATCGGCGATGCCTCAGCGACGTCGGCGATGCATCGGCAACGTCGGCGTGAAAAAGATATGTCTCCACATCGACCCGCATCGCCGATGCATCGGCGATGCGGTGCAATCCTCAGACCCCTGCTGCTCTGACCCCATCTGGGAGGCCTAGACAGAAGCGGTACCAAAGTTTTCGCCTGCCGGAGCACCCCTATCAGTGCGTCACTGTTGAAGACGTGCCGCGTGTTTGTACAAATAGCAATCGAATAACGGGCATAGGTTGAAAGATGACGCGCGTGACATTGGATCTCTTTGTCCCTCCCGCGCTTTCCCCTCCAAATCCTTGGCCAGCCACTTGGCGGTCAGGCAGCCGTAGTAGGACCGGGGGATATTCAAGAAGGAGAGGCCTGCGCCAGTCATCCTTCGGAAATCGTTGCCGCGCTGCACCACGGCTGGAAGGTCCGCTACCCGCGAGGCGATGTGCTGAACACCCTGCCCGATCTCGTTCAGATAGAGGTGGACGTGCCCCACCTCGGAGAGGGCGTTGTTGATAGGCAGGTAGACCTGTTAGAAAAGGGGAGCTTGCTGAACACAGACGGCGAATGACTCCAGGCCCCTGGAAAACCTTCTCAGGGAACCACTCACCTTAGAAAGCGGGGAAAAATCTGGTGAATGACTTACCAGGGTGCCTTTCAAGGACCGCAGCTGTTCACCGTCATTCCATCACCACTTCACGCCGTCTGCGACCTGGCTCTGGTCTTTCAAGCCCATCTCCCTGTCGGCGAGGAGCGTGCCAGGATCGTTACCTGTCACGGTAGACTCGATCTGCGCCTGCACGGCAACATCGGCAGCAACACCACCAGCAGCGCATCCGGCAGCACACGCGGCAGCACCAGAAGAAGCAGTATCAAGAACCAGCAGCACCACCATCACCCCGAGCACCAGCAGCAGCGATAAGAAATCCCCGCGGCCTACACATGAGGTGTTGATACCCCCCGCCCCTTCTGAAGTGGAGGAGGACTGCGACGACGAGAGGATGAGGAGGACGGGGAAGGAAAAACAGAGCAGCAACACCACCAGCACCATCGCTTTCAAATTGGCGCGGGAGGTGGGAGTTGGCCATATTCCACCACCTGCTTTGTACAGCTGGTCCGTCTTCACTGCGTGTTTCATGCGTGGCCGCAGCCGCCTTCGATCCTCAGTTCTGTCACGTGCACTCTGGCCGTGAACTTCGCGAGAACGACAAGACTACTGGGCGCGCAACCTGTCCGCCCAGTTTCGTCGAGCCTTCCGAAGCACATCTTCTGCCAAACTCCAGCGCAACAGGCTAATTCGGTGCCGGTCCACCCCCTCCTCCTCCTCCTCCTCCTCCTCCTCCCCTTCCTCCTCCTCCTCCTCCTCCCTTCCTCCTCCCCCTCCTCTCCTCCTCCTCCTCCTCCTCCTCCTCCCTCCTCCTCCTCCTCCTCCTCCTTGTCCTCCTCCTCCTTCCTTTCCTCCTCCTCCTCCTCAGCCTCCCCTCCTCCTCCTCCTCCTCCTCCTCCTCCTCCCCTTCCTCCTCCTCCTCCTCCTTCCGTAGCCATTTTGGTTCAAGACTATGAGATTCGCAGGGAACCAAGTGGATACCGCTAGTCCGCGGCAGTGCCAGGGCCTTGCGCCGACAGCTCTCCCCCCGGGTCCTGGTCCGCCCCAGGTAGCCAAGTGTGCAAATATCTGATCATTGCGTCTCTCGTTTCCTGTCTGCGGCCGCCATGGCACCGCCTGCTGGCCGCGCGGCCAGGGAGAGGGCGGCCCAAGCGAAGCGATGGGTCTGCAGATCCTGCACGCATCAAAAGACAGAAAAGCCGTGGCATAACCATGAAGATGTTGCGTCTTGCTTTCTACGTGGTGGTGCTAAGGGTCGCGTCCACGAGTGTGAATTTCCTCCTCCTGTTCCCAGTCAACGTGCTACTCCTGCCATGGGTGTTGGCGCTGCGCGTGCACTGGAAGCAAAGGAGAAGGAAATGGTTGCTCTCCGCAAGCAGGTTCAGCAGCTATCGCGGTCCAAGTCTCCTGAAGCGGACGCTCCTGAGCTGCAGCCCCAGACTGATTCGACTGGCGGACCCGAGCTGCAGAAGAAGCAGAAGGAGTTGGAAGCTTGCGAAGGTGTATTGGCGGCCCTAAGGCAGGCAACCAAAGCCAAAGGGGTTGAGCCCAGTACAGTTTCTGGCTACGCTGACGCGGAGATTTCGGTCCGGCAGCTACGCCAGGAGATCACGGCGGCCAAGCCCTTGGGCTCGCAGGCGCATAGTATCGGCAACAATCTCCAGAGAACCGATTAGCAGATTGCAGTCGATTGACACTGAAAAGAAGCGTCTGGTCGAGAAGCACAAGCTGGTTCTGGAACTCCGGCATCAGTTGGACGACAATGAAAAGGCGCGGGTGCAGTTGCAGCTGGAGCAGATTGATCTCCCTCGGCAAAGAACATCTGAGCAGCATGTTGGTGCCACCTCAGCTCGCGGCACAGCAATGTTCGAGGCGTTTTCTGCTAATTTGGAGCAGCTACAGGCTAGTGTGCAACAGTTGGGTGGTGGTGAACAGTTGGCTGCTAGCTGTGTGCAGCATGTTCAGCCATGGGTCGAGGCTGCCAAGAAGGCGAGAGACGACCATCTGGAGGTGCCGCGGGCTATGCAGCAGCAGCAGCAGCAGGCTCAGCAACCACCTTCTGGTCTGGACGCCTCTACTACTCAGACGGCCTTTGATATTCCTGTACCAGAGGATATGGATCTCGAGGACCTCAAAGCATTCGTCGCCAGCAATGGGGGCAAGGCCACCGACGACGAGGCGCAGGTCAGGGCGCAAGCCAAGCGCCAGCTCGAGTCCTTCAAGCTGCTCATGACGAAGAAGATGCGTACTGGCTCTAGCGCTGGGCTTAGCGCTAGTCCGAACGATGGCATTTGAATATGTTGGACAACCTACTGCAGGATCTCGCTATCACGAGTCCCCCGAAGTCGGCGATGACGTGAGCAGTTGTGCGCTGGCCCTGAGCTGCGGCGCGCGATCACTGAAAGGGGATCCATCGTCCCTGCCGGCCCAGGATTTCACCACCATGAGAGCTGATGTGCAGGAATGGACAGCGATCTGGTTCGAGAATCACCGACAGTGCTCCAATGACAATTCTCAATGGGTGGAGTGCTGTCAGGCTTTCCTCTCAGCGATGTTGGCCCGCGGAGGCAACGATCCCCTTTCTTCTGGTGCTGTCGAATTGGTTTCCTCGCCGTGCTCTGGAGTCTATCCCACAGGAGCTTTGCGAGGCGGCCCGTCGCCAGACTGAATGGCGTCGCGAGCGCGCCAGCCGCCATATCCACGGAGACCAGCCTAGGAACATGAGCAAGCAGACGACCCTGTGGATGTCCTCGTCGCGCACATGGCCATGACCTCCTACGCCTCGGCCACGACATTTCGCGGCTCTGGAAATGGCGAAGACACTTTGGGCAGAGGGGGCAGGGATTCAGCCCCTGGAAGTCACGCCCCTCTGCCCACATGTCCCGCGGCTTCAGGGTTGGCAGCTGCTACGAGGCGGTTAACGGATACCCCCCCAGATGGCCAAGGGCGCCCCTCCCCTGGGCCGGGGGCAACCGCGAGACAGATGACGGCCTCTGCTGGGACATCGGCGTCGAGCGGTGCGCCCACGGCTCCGACGGAGCCGCAGAGGTCGCCACGTGCTGTTCAGTGTTCAGCTGGAAGTCAATTTCATTCACTGGAATCTGTTAGAGTGCGAAGTCCCAGTGCGCCACCAGGGCTAAGGCGCGAGGTCGCCGCGTGAGCTGGAAGGCGTTAGAGCGCAAAGACCTAGTGTGCCATCGCGGCTACTAGGCACCACGTCGCCACTTGAATCAAGGGGCCCAGCGGTTGCTCTGGCGTCTGGCGTGGCTGTGGAGGAAGCGACATTCGCGAGGCCCGTGGGCCCTCCGAGTGCCACTGGCCCCCTTTACGAGGACCGCTGTCGGCGCTGCCGTCGGCGGCGCCGCGGGTCCTTGTCCAGGGGTCGCGGTTGGCGCAGCGGGAAGCGCGCCGCTGCCTCGCGCAGCGTGGGCGGGATCCGACGTCGCGGGGGGGTGACAGGGGAGCAGCTCAAGTCTGCCCCCCCAGGTTTTTCGCCCACTGATGACAAGTCCGAGGGCGATGTGATCACGGTCGAGGTCACGTCACATGGACCTTTGTTTGAGTACCTACCCACAGTGGAGCAGGCGAAGGTGCTGCTGGTGCAGGAGCACCATGCACTACCAGATCGTCTACCGCAAGCGCAGTCCCAGGCACTGGCAATGGTTGGCACGGACTATGGGCCTGCGCTACCCCTAGCCCGACGCCTTCTACGGGCTCAGTTGCAGGTGTGGCTATAATTGCACGTACTGGTATCATGATCTTGGCTCCAGATCTGTCTGAGATGGAGGTTGTTCCAGGAAGGTTGTTGTTTGCCCATATTCACTGGGGAGTTACCTGGAGGTTCTACTGCTGGCAGTGTCTATCTCGATACTACGGACGGCATGGGCCCAGCAAGCGCGGCTTATTCGCGCGCAATGGTTCAGGCGCTGGCGAAGCTTAACAGTGAAGGCCATGATTGGCTCGTCGGAAGTGACTGGGACAATGAGCCCGCTGCCCTATTCACCATGGGGTGGGCAACTGCTGCTTCTGCCATGCAGCTATTCCCTGACATTCCTACGTGTCGGCAGGCCACGCCACGCAGTGCGCTCGACTACTTCGTTGCGTCGATAACCTTGGCATCCAGAGTTGCCGCGCAGGTGCATGTCGATGAGGGCTCGGCCGTGCCCCCGCATTGTCCAGTTCACTTACACATGATGGCGCAAGACGTGCAGATCTGGAGGCTGGCCCCCGACCCGCCAAAGGAGTTGCCTCTGGCGGCACCGCCTGGTTGCTCGAGGTACCCTTACGAATGGAACTCCCAGCTGTTTGCAGATGTTACCGACACGCAGGGACTCGCTGCTTGCATGGGTTCCCTCACGGGCGGTGTCGAGCAAGAGTTGGCCGACAGATGTGATCAAGGTGGAGCCGGCGCATTAAGGCATCCTGGACGCGCTGGGCCTCCTCGCTTCACATGGAGACAACTCAAGTGGCAGGCTCCACTGAGGCGAACGCACAAAGCAGCCACGGACTCTGGTCTGGAAGACGGCGCTACGATGGATGATGCACATGCAGAGGGAGCGCCACCAGCTCGTCTGCAGTCGTCCAATGCGCCGTGTGCGATTGAGCCGCGACAGTGCACCGTGCTCCCCCAGGCTGTCCATGAGGTCAGCGGGCTTTCCTGTGAATGCCAGGCGCAGCCGCGTGGTGCTGAGCTACCTCCCCACGCAGTTGCAAACTTTCTTTGCGTCGGGGCTGGGGGCGCTGGCGGCATCCACCTTTCATTCGCAGATGGAACAAGTCGGGCGCGAGGCCACTGCCATGTGTAAGAACGACCAGAGAAGGTGGCCTACCGGGCTTGGATGAAGTTTCAGCGAATTGCCTCTCAAGAAGCGAGGCACCAGTTGCTCATCGGGTCTCTAAGGTTCAGCCCGTGGACCAGGTGACCCCGTTCACGCGAGACCCACAGGGCGTGCAACCAATGGCTCTGGCCAACAAAGATATGGATGGATTGCAGATGGTTTGGACGCGGCATGGATGCCTACCTGTGCAACCACCTCCAGAGGCTGTGAACTGGCCGCCCCTACCAGCGGGGGACGCGCCGACCTTGCGACGGGTGCTGCTTACTTTTCCCAAGCGCACGTCAACGGGCCCCTACGCCCTGCACCCGCGAATGTTGCGGCGCCGATCCGACGAGACGCTCGGCGTGATGA